GCCACAGACTTCAGGGATGCTGTGAAGATGTGAACGCCAGTGTCTCAGTGGCAGGCGTTTTCATTCTTGATATCTGCGTCCCACGGGGTCATTTCACACGCTGTGTGCTTTTGGCTTTGATCTGCCCGTCTGCACCTGCTGGGAGGTGCCATATGCATCACCCCTCTGCGTCAGGAGGTGTAAGCAGTGGCTAATCGGGGAATCTCACAGAGGGCATGGGAGCCTCTCCAGACTCTGATGTCATCCTAACACATGAGTACTGGGAACGACCATGTGCCAAACACCTGTCGTACCCCAGCTCAGTCCCAGGTGTGGCAGCACGGCAGGTTTCTGCAGATGGATGGGAAGTGCTCCTGGAGCCTTTGTTGCTTTGCTATCAGGGTGACTCCCACTCATGGCGACCTTAGGTGCAGCCTGGTCCCACACCAGCTCCGTGACCCCTGGTAGGTTTGAGCCCATTGTGGGGCTGTCATCTCAGGCCATGTCATGGGGACGTCTTCTCATTTTCCTTGACCCTCCGCTGCACTGGACAGGATGTCCTTTCCCAGCTGTTGTCACATGTGTGGCTTTCCTTGGTGGATTTTCAGAAGTTGGTCACCAGGCCTTTCTGCCTGGTCTGTCTTAGTCTGGAAGCTCCACTGAAACCTGTCCACCATGGGGGACCCTGCTGGCATTGGAAATTCTGAAGGCGCGGCACCCAACGTCACAGCAACACACAGGCCACCACAGCACGACAGACCCACACCATTATCCTGGCTAATTCTGCCTCGTGTGTGGCTCCTTTACATTTAAGTAAGTGTGGTTTTTACCACACTGGGAAGGCCTGGGGTAGAGGAGAGGCAGGAATGATCTGTTCACGCTGTGTTTCCTGACAGAGAGTGATGTTGCATCTTCAAAACAACATCTGTCAGAACAGTTTTCATCAGATTAAATGAATCCTCAAAACAGCATCACAGCTTACACAGAATCCTGGAAATGGAGGTTATGTGTTGCCTGCAGTCCCACTGGAATTTAAAATAATGCATTTTGCAAACTCACCTTTGCAAGCAGCTTCCTTACTAGGTTTCCTGTCTGTGGATTTTTGTTTAAGCTATCCTGTCTCCGAAGAGTTTAGAAGGTGTTTTTCTCTTGTGAACGTCATAGGCAATTGTTTATCAATATTAATAGCTATTAATTCAAAAATGGTTGTATTAGTATATTGACAGAGAACTTTCAGAAATGCAGGCTGGATTCAGAAGAGGGCATGGAATGGGGGATAGCATTGCTGATGCCAGATGGATCTTGGCTGAAAGCAAAGAATGCCAGAAAGATGTTTCCTTGTGTTGATTGTGTGGATCATAACAAATTATGCATAACATTGAGAAAAATGGGAATTCCAGAATACTTAATTGTGCTCATGAGGAACCTGTACATAGATGAAGAGGATATCATTCAAACAGAGCAAGGGGATACTGCATGATTTAAAATCAGGAATGGAGTTGTATCCTTTCACCATACTTATTCAATCTGTATGCTGAGCAAATAATCCAAGAAGCTGGACTATATGAAGAAGAACATGGCATCAGGATTGGAGGAAGGCTCGTTAACAACCTGAGATACACAGACAACACAACCTTGCCTGCTGAAAGTGAGGATGACTTAAAGCACTTACTGATGAAGATTGAAGACAACAGTCTGGAGTATGGATTACACCTCAACGTAAAGAAAACAAATATCCTCACAACTGGACCTATAAGCAGCATCATGATAAATGGAGAAAAGATTGACGTTGTCAAAGACTTCATATTACTTGCTTCCACAATCAACACCCATGGAAGCAGCAGTTGAGAAATCAGACGATGTATTGCACTGGGCAAATCTGTTGTAAAGAATCTCTTTAAAGTATGCTGAAGAGCAAAGATGTCTCATTGAAGACTAAGGTGCACCTAACCCAAGCCATGGTATTTTCAGTTGCCTCATATGGATGTGAAAGCTGGGCAATGAATAAGGAAGACTGAAGAAGAGTTGATGCTTCTGAGTTGTGGTGTTGGTGAGGAATGCTGAGAGTACCATGGACTGCCGGAAGAACTAGTAAATCTATCCTGGAAAAACTGCAGCTGGAATGCTTCTTCGAAGCAAGAATGGCCTGACTTCGTCTCACCTACTTTGGTCATGTTGTCAGAAGAGACCATTCCCTGGAGAAGGATGTCATGGTTGGTAAAGTGGAGGCTCAGCAAAAAAGGGGAAGGCCCTCAACGAGATGGATTGGCACAGTGGCTGCATGATGGGCTCAAGTATAACAGGGATTATGAGGTTGGCATAGAACTGGGCAGTGTTTCGTTCTGTTGTACTTAGGGGCTCTGAGTTGGAGCTGATTGGACACACCTAAAAATAACATTAATTGCTATTAATTGTAGATGGACAAAGGCGTTGAGCCTGAGGGGCCTTGGGCCATGCTTGGTTGAAAACCTTCAGTGGGCATCAATGTTGTCCCTGGGAGAGTTTTGCAAAACTAGATGTGGCTTTTGGTATTGTGTTAGGACACCAGCCTTTTGCCATCTTTTCACAGGCAGCTGCCAGATCTTTGTAAAGTAGACATGCCCTCCTCAGTCTTAGAGGAGAGAACACAGCTCTCTGTGGGGCCTCTTGGGTAGTAAAGACCCTGAATGAAAGACCAGCACCAGCTGATGTATACCACTGGGCGCCCAGGGAGCTGCTCCTCACCACTCCGTGCCACCAGGGAGCTGGTTCTTGGAACGTTTGATGAGCTTGCTGGGCTTTTAAAGCCCACTTAGAAGGTGTGGAGAGCTGGGGAGCCTGCTCAGACCCGGTCTGTAGAAAGAACCTTTGCCTGGAGCTAACCAGAGCTAAGAAGGGCTTCTGCGGTGCCCCTGTTCCTGCCGGGTGTCCTCCCCAGGGCAGATAAGGGTGCACATACAGCCTGTGTTGTTTAACAGGGTGGTTTACTACAGAGAGACGCTCCCACCCTCCACCCCACCCCACCTGCATGGCACCTCCCCCTCACCCCACCCTTCACCCCAGCCCTGGTGAGCGTGCTGGGTTGCAGGCCAGTGCCAAGCTGATGGTGGCCTTGAGAACAGCAGTACAGAGGAAGGTGGCTGTGTGCTGCCAGCTCTGTGTCCCTTTCAGATATACTTATGCAGGGCACTAATCCAGCCCGTAAGGGGCCCTGGTGGGACACTGGTGGAGCGCTCATCTGCTAACTGAAAGGTTGGCAGTTTGAGCCTATCAGCCTCTCTGTGGAGGAAAGGTGGGGCAGTGTGAGTCCGTAGAGGTGACAGCCTAGGAAACCCTGTGGGGAAGTTCTCTGCCCAGTAGGGTCACTGGAAGTCGGAATCCACTCAATGACCACAGCCACAAATGATCCCAGCTGCAGGCCTCAGGCGTCCTGTGCAGCACCCGGAGCCATGAGTTCCCAGCGGCCAAGCCAGGCTGGCCTGGCCGGAGGGGCGTTGGGAGGGCTTTCCGGAAGAGGGGCTTCACCTGGAGCCGGACTCGCCCATCTCTGCCTGGCTGAGAATCCTGCCACTCAGTCACAGATGTAAAGAGAACTCCATGCCAGTCCAGCGCACAAAATGAGAGCTTCCTGGAACTGAGGTCACCAAGGGCTGAGTTTATGCTGCCTGTGGGGTCCGGGTCTCACTAAGTAACCAGAACCCCTCAGGGAATGGTGTGTGTGTTTGCTAAACCTTTGGATGTAAACAAATCTGTGCACTTTCTGAATGTTGGGACCTTTGCATGCAGCAAAGTGAAGGCCAGTGTGGTTCCTTACAAAGACCTTCTGCTTCCGGGGAGCTGAGAGGGCAGGCTGTGAGCCCAGGGTACAGGCCAAACTCAGAGTGTAAACCAGACTTAGGGTATAGGCCAGACTCAGGGTGTAGGTCAGACTCAGGGTACAGACCAGACGTAGGCAAAGCTGGGGCACAACCCAGGGCCTCCTTCTGGCCCACCTACCCACGTGATTGAGGCGTCTCCTGTGGCCAGCATCCCCACCAGACTGTGGGCTTCTGTCCTTCCCCCTACCCCGTGCCATGGAGGGATGCCCCTCCTGCCTCACGAGCCACCCAGGGGACCCTACATCTCCTGCGGTTCCCGGGCCTTCTCCCTCTGGTCACTCCCACGGCACATCTCCGGGTCCTGCGTCTAACAGCACCCCACAGGCAGGCACTGGGAAGCGTACCGGTGTGGCACTGTGCTCCCCTACTCTAAGTTCAGGAGGCAGATTACAAACAGTGTGACTATTTATGGAAGAAAACAGACATTTAACAAAAAGGAGGTGTTTACATCTGTCCATAGGAGACACACTGCAAGACTATCCAGAGTGTTAACAACGGTCATCCCCGGATGGTAGGATTTTAAGTGGTCTTACCTGTTTTGTGTGCACTGTCTGCTTCTCAGCAGTGAGCATAGATTCCGTGGGCACTGCACTCTGTCCCTGAGGTACTGTGGACAGTAGAGGCGAGCTCAGCATGCACTGAGGTGTGACGAAGTGACAGTCATGTCCCACGGAGCCAGGAGAGTGCATTTGGCTCTAGGGGCCCGCTGTTAGAAATTTCACAGAAGCGTGGATTCCTGGATGATTCCAGAAGGGAGGGCGGGAGGCCCTAGATTGACCACAGAGGCTGGAGTAGCCAGGTTCATCCCTGGGCAGAACCTGTTCCCATCATCTCATCAGACCAATCACACTGGGCTTACCTGTGCTCACAATTTGAGAATTAACCATAAAAGCAACAGAAAGAAAGTGTCTTCAGGCAAATCGCCTACAGTTTGCCACCATCCTTGCTCCCTGTGTGGCCCTTCGCCTGAGCCAGCCTCAGGAGGCGAGGACACCACAAGACACCAGTGGCCAGCCCATGCTGCCTCCGTAACCTGGAGGAGGGCCCCCACTTCTCCTCTTCCCCTCAGAGCTGTCAGAGTGGCCATTGTTTGCTGGACCGGTCTGGTCTGTGTCCCCCCCGCGACTGTACTGTTAACTCATCTTTTCCCCTCTTGTTTTCCAGCCCACCGAAGCCAACCGTGTTCATCTCCGGCGTGATTGCCCGGGTAAGAGCTTGTTTTCTCCCTCTGAGAGCATCTCAAGTGGATGCAAGACCTTTGCGGTTCATTTTATCCAATTAGAGTGCCAGCGTGTGACCTCCCAGTTCCGTCTGTTTTTGTTAATGCCACCTAGAGCCACAGAGTGACACCATCCATCTGAAGGGCCGGGAACTTTCTTGATTGTTTTGTTCCCATGGTGCATGCCTCTGTAAGGGAGGGATTGATGAAGTAAGAAACGCATGGAGCACACAGCCTGAGTGGCGTCTAAAGCACCATGGGGCCACCCGCTTCTCTCCTTCCTCAGCGTTCCGCTTCTCCTTGGACTAACTCGGGTCAGCAAACACCGGCCCCTGGGCCCAGTGCTTTTGGATGACCCATGACTTAAGAATGTGTGGACATTTTTAAGTAGCTGAAAAACCCAAAATAAGAACATGTCATGACATGGGAATATTATATGAAATTCAGATTTAATTGTGCACAAATAAAGTTTTTTTGAAACACAGCCATGCCCCTTTGTTTACACATTGTCTATATGTAGGAGCTCTCGTGGTGTAGTGCCTAAGGCACTTGCCTGCTAACCAGAAGGCTGGCGGTTCAAACCCACCAGCCACTCCTCGGAAGAAAGGTTGGGCAACCTACTTCCGTAGTGATACTGCCTCAGAAACCCAACGAGGGGTCACTATGAGTTGGATCTGACTTGATGGCAGTGAGTAGTGTCAGCATTCCATGGCATGGGGTGTGGGTATGCTTTGGGGCTGCAAAAGCAGAGTTGAATCCTTGCAAAAGACAGTATGACCCCAAACCCCTAAAACTTTTACTATCCAGACATTTGTGGAAAACGTTTGCTGACCCCTGGGCTAAGCTCTTGGGTTTTTGTCATGCTTTCATCTTCGAGGAGCCATTTATGGTGAGACTCAGTGTTTGGTTGCACTGTGAACCCCACTCAGGCTCTGTACTCTCTCTGTCCTTGTACACAGTCAGAAGAAACTGTGGGGTCCAGCTCACAGGGGGTGTAGCTGTGGTCCCAGCCATCCAGAGACCCTGGAAAGATGGTGTGAGGCCATTCAATACCTACACCACCCCAGCCCTGGCCCCAGCTCCGGTCTCGGTTCCATGTCCCACCCAGAATTCTTGGCACAAGAAACCAGTTCCTCCCTGGAAACAGCTGGATACCTTCTCCTGAGGCTCAGCTGAGTGGGATCCAGGGCTGTCTCTCTGCTCTCAGCCCTGCCTTGGGGGCTTCCTTCTTGTCCCTACCCCATGGTGGCAGATCTGACTTTTAAGAATTGAGATCTGGTCACTGTTGCTCCTCAGTCCAATGACCACAAAAGTCACTGAAGGAGAAGGCCACCAACATGTGGTTGAGTCCTGAGTGAGGTATCAGCGTTCCATGGCACGGGGTGTGGGTGGCCGATTCTCACCTTCTCTGTGGTGTGTGGCCCTTAGTCCCTCTTCACCTCCCGGGCTCTGATGGCTGTAGGACACCCGCCACTCCAGAGAGACTTCGGCCTGCCACCTGGTTATCATCCCCCACCCACTCATGACACCCACTGCCCTGCAGGAAGGCTCCTCCATGCACTAGTCCGGTGGGTTAAGGCCCTCGTGTTTGTGTCTCCTGACAGGGCGACAAGGATTTCCCCCCGGCGGCCGCGCAGGTGGCCCACCAGAAGCCACACGCATCCATGGACAAGCACCCCTCTCCGAGGACCCAGCACATCCAGCAGCCTCGCAAGTGAGCAGGCGGGGAGCCCGGCCCACGGCGGCAGGCGGGCACCCTACCTTCCCTGTTCACCCCACACCATGAACTGGCACATCCTCCCCAGACTGCATTTGTGCTGGGAAATCCCAGACCATGCAGTTCTCTCCTTCCTTATCCTTAAATTTCCATATTGAATCCTAGAAACGGAGCAGACCCCACTGTGCGTAGAGGCCTGGGTGGGTGTTCAAGGGTCGTCATCCCCCACCTCTCCCTCCACTGTTCAGGCAAAAAAAAAAAAAAAATCCCATTGCTATTGAGTTGATTCCACTCATGGTGCCCCCGTGGGTGGGTTCCCCATGGCTGGTATTTTTTAGGAGTCAAGCACCAGGCCTTCCTTCCTACCACATGGTTGGCAGTCGTGCTTGTTAACCGTTTCTACCACCCAGGGGTCTGAGCCAGCCCCAAACCCTAAATACACGCAGCCATCCAGGTAGTGCAGGTCGCTGTTGGCGTTTGCAGTTCTGAAGAACGTAGACAAATGGGTGGGTTCAGATCTCCTTTTTGATAAAAATCCTGTTGCTGTTGCATCAGCTTTGACTTACACTGACCCCACGTGTGTCAGAGTAGACCTGGGCTCCAGACGGTTTCCAGTGGCCGCTTTCTCAGTAGATCGCCAGATCTTACTTCCGAGTACCTCTGGGTGGGTGGACTCGCACCTCCAGCCTTGGGGTCTGCAGTCGAGCACCTTAACCGTTGGTACCACCCGGGCCTTCATTGTCTCCCCATGCAGCTAGAGATACCGCATTCCAGGTGAGCTACAGAACGGTCCCTCAGGCTGTGCCCACAGTTCCCATTGCCCTGGTTGCCCAATTCCCTGTGGCCCTGCTCACGGAGGTGGGTCTGACCATCCTGTGCCGTCTGCCCGCGTCTCCTGCCCACAGACACGCGAGCCAACTGCCTGGATGGTGGCTGGAGAGTGTCCTGCTGGAAACGGTGCCTTGTTGGGAGGCTAAGCTCTTCTGGGTAGACTGGCTGGTCACTGTGGCAGTTCCTCTGCTGCCGGTCAGCATGGTCTGTGAGCCCCGCTACCCTGCCCCCTTTCCCAGACCTCTGTGCACTGGCTTGGCCAGCTGGTCCAAGTGGAGGTACCTGGGCAGAGCCACCTCTCCCACCCTCTGAGAAGCCCAGCACCGTGCCCACCTGAAAGGCAGGGCTGGGCTTCTCATCTGACTTCCTAGAAGCCACTGGGTAGCCCACAAGCATGGGTTGGGGGGCATCATCTGTATTTCCTGATCATGAAATGTTGGTATGAGCTGGCAGTGGCTTCCAGTGACCCAGACTTGAGGGACAGCGCCCCAGCATGCTCGGGTCTGTGTTCTAAAGCCAGAATGTCGCAGACAGCGCCAGGTTAGGCCCGTGTGGTCCCTTGCACGTCCACTACAGAAACTGAGAACCATCCTCACCCTCTGTCATCTCGCAACCAAGGAGGGCCGCCTTATTTCCAAGGTGCATGTTCTGTGTACTTTTACTGGCATGTGGCCCTGGGCACTTGATCACTGCAGTGAAATGTTTTCTTAAATGAGTTTATTGATTGTTAATTTCAAGAAGAATGACTGTAATAAATTCCCTGCATTTCTCTTCCTGCTTCGTTTTTCCTTTTATTTCTGGGGTTTCTGTCCTGTTTTGATAGGGTTGCCAGACAGTTTCACTAGAAAAGATTAGCGTGCCTCCACAGCCCGTATCTCACAAATCATTTCCCGGACACAAAGCAGCTTGAGTCTGCCACACACTTCCACCTGGGAGGAGCTAACGCAGTGGTTAGGACGTCCAACGGGCCCAGCGGTGAGTGGTCCTTTAGGATCGGACGTAATCATCGTGTGAGCAGGAAGCACGGGGTGGCAGGGAGTGGCTTCTGATGGGAAGGTCTCCTGTACCCTCAGCTAAATGAGATCTGGGGTCCAGTCACAGCACGTGATGGGGGGTCTCGCAGCACATGACGGGGTACAGGGGGTTGTCCAGACACAGGACACGGTGGGAGGCCGGACGCTTGCCTTGTGTCTGCAGCACTGCGCAGTCCTGGCACGGCCTGGCGGTCACGGCTCCTGAGCGCTCTCTGTTCACCTACATCCTGTCTCGAGATGACGCACTTCCTCAGGAGCGAGAGTCTTCCGTGTTTTTCCATCACCAGGCTCAGAGTCGGGCCTCAGTAAATAAATGGAGTGGGACAGAGAAGTCAAACACAAGAGGGGAACAGAGCTGCCCCCCAGACTCTACGCCATTAATAAACATCGTCATCTGCATGCTGAGAAACCACAGGCCCTGCTCCGGGCGCACACCATTTGAGTACCTAACGCTTTGTTTGGTAACTTGCTTTTCTGAGTCAACTTTACCCACCACTGACCTCTTAACAGCTGCTGAGCGAGGAAGGGAGGCGGGAGGGAGGAGGGCAGCCAGCAGAGTGGGTGGGGCATTGGGCAGGGCCAGCCGTCCCTGGGCCTGGGGGTTTAGTAACTTCAGCTGTCATTTGCACACACTCTTCAGGTGGACTGTCAGTGTACTGGGCCCCACTTCTCGTTTTCTGTATGAGAGTCTTCCATTGTTGGTATTTGTCCACACCCCACAGAGGAGGTTTTCTAATCAGTTTCCACACTGACTTCGTTTAAGTGTGCACATCTCCAAAACATCCTGACCTTGAACTTGCCCTTCCCAACTGCACACCATTGCCTTCAGTCAATTCTGACTCATTGCAACTCCGAGTATTACAGACCAGAGCTGCCCCCTAGGTCCTCCCTGGCTGTCACCTCCACAGAAGCCGGTCACCTGGCCTGCCTGCCTTGGCACCACTGGGCGGGTTTGAACCACCAGCCTCTAGGTTAGTAGGGACCATCTCCACCAAACTGGCTTTCTGAAATTCTACTGAGGGCTTTCATGATGGGATAAAATTATTTTTCCCTCATCTACTCCTTTAATTCTAAATATTATAACCCTAACTGCCTTGCTTTCCAAAACAAATGACCGGTAACTGAACAGAAAGACCCAACATGAATAGAATGATCAGACGTCATCCGGGGACCAGGGCCCTACTGAGAGATCAGGGGGACCTTCTTATTACATTTCAGCATTGTGTGTCACTCCACACTGCCAAGGGTCACTGAGAAGAGGACGTCCACGCTTCAGGATGAGCTCAGTTCCTGGGTAAATGACCAAAACCTGGCCTTTGTCACTCTTTAAATAGGAAGCTATTGAAGCATGGAACATGTCTTGTTCTTAGGTCCCACTGGCTCAGTTTCAATACGTAGTGACGGGATCTGGGCTGGAGCAGGTTGCCAGGGATTGTCTCCCACTCAGCTGCTGGGGCAATTTGAACTGCCAACGTTTCAGTTACCAGCCCAGCGCTCAGCCACTGAGCCACTTGGGCTCCTTGGGACGTGCTTGGAGTACTTGTGATGATTTTCATTAGCTCCAGGGAAGTGGGCTCACTGGAGGCGATATGGAGACATTTTTTAATGTCCCATTGGGGTGGGGGTAGGGAGTCTAGTAAGTAATGGCCAGGGGTGCAGCTACAGGGACAGCCCTCACTACGGAGAAGTGTACCCGCTCAGACATAGATGATGCCGACGTGGAAAACCCCTCCGGGGCCAAGTCTAGAAGTCTGAAACTTAGAATAAAGGAGCCTTGGTGGCCCGATTGTTACCTGCTCGGCTCCTAGGCAATGCGATCTGAACCTACTCAGTGCCTCTGCAGGGGCAAAACCTGGTGGTCTACTGCCATAAAGATCGCAGCTTAGGAAACCCATGGGGGCAGATCTAGTCTGTCACATGGGATCACTATGAGCCGGAATCGACTAGATGGCACAGAATAACAATATAACTTACAATGTTGTTGTTGTTGTTCTGTGCTGTCAAGTTGGACCCAACTCATAGCAACCCCTCCTTGGGCTTCCAAGCCAGTATCACTACGGAAGTAGATTGCCCAGCCTTCCTTCCGAGGACTGGCTGGTGGGTTTGAACCGCCAGCCTTCTGGTTAGCAGTCAAGTGTTTTAGGCACTATACTACCAGAGTTCCTTAACTTACACTAACATGACTAAATTATTAAAGGCAAGTTTCCCTCCTGCTGGAATCTTGAAAACACAGTCTCTGTCTTCAAGTGACAAGGGTGCAGTTCGTAGAAGCAGTTCAACTCACTCTGTCTGGTTCCTCCTTCCCAGTCCCTGGAGTGGTAGATAGCAAACTGCCATAGTGCAGGTTTGCTCTTGGGCGCCATGGAAACTGATAAAGGAAGCCTACCCCTCAGGGTTGGGGCCAGCTCGACTCATAGCAACCCCTTCTTGGGTTTCCGAGGCAGTATCACTACGGAAGTAGGATTGCCCAACCTTCCACTGGATTGCCCAACCTACCACTCCTCAGAAGGAAGGTTGGGCAATCCTACTTCCGTAGTGATACTGCCTCGGAAACCCAAGAAGGGGTCGCTATGAGTCAGGGCCGACTCGACAGTAAAAACAACAACAACAACAACCCCTCGGGGGTGGGAGGTGGCGCTGTGGCATGAGGATTGTTTTGCTGTCACTGATATGGAGGAGAGGAGCTCTGGTGGCGTAGTGCCTAAAGCATTTGACTGCTAACCAGAAGGCTGGTGGTTCAAACCCGCCAGCCACTCCTCAGAAGGACGGTTGGGCAATCTACTTCTGTAGGGATACTGCCTTGGAAACCCAAGGAGGGGTTGCTGTGAGTCGGTTCTGACTTGCCGGCAGTGAGTTTGGTTTTTTTTTATGGAGGAGAATGTCTCCTGGAGGCCTCCCAGCAGTCACCTAGGATAAGCCCACTGCAATATTGTAAAAGAAAGGAGCTCTAGAGACCTCTTTCCAAGATGGCAGGCTGTATCCCCGAGTAAACTGTGCCTCAAGTGGATAAACCCAGCCTCTGCAGCAAAGGGGTGAAAAGATAAAAGAAGAAAAAAGCGTCATGGGTGGACTTGGGTCTGAAAAAATCTGGGTTAAAATCCTAACTCTGGTACTTGTGACCTTACTTGGAAAAAGT